GACACGTCACGTTTGCGATGGATGGTTCATTGTAGAAGGACTCCTTGCAGGCTTGCGCGCGCTCCGTCCGGTAGGTTTTATCAGATCGAAGGCTAGACTGTGGTGTATTCTAGTGGCCCATAGTAAGACGAAGGCTAGCTATGGTCACGTGACGTGGTCACGTTGGCAAGGTAAGTGAGGAGAGTAAGGAGGGAAATGAGAAAGAGGCGAGGCGTATAGGGAGCATGGCTTGTGGAGGCTACGCGGCCGACGTCATGCCCTCTCCTACCCTTCTATTCTCCATGGTTTCACATGCAGCGGTTTTGGCCCTAGAGCGGCGCGATTTCTGCCGTCGCGGCGCTCTGGCCAGCACTAGCGGTTGAGTGGCACGAGCGCCGCGACGGCAGAAATCGCGCCGCTCTAGGGCCAAAATCGCTGCATGTGAAACACGCTTGATACTCCGTTTCGTTACAGTGGTTTCGTTCTAAATGCCAGCGTAGCTGAGGCTTCAAGAGCGAGCTGCGAGCTTTCAGCGTCCCTGTCCAGCACGCGCGCTCGTGCAGTGCAAGCATCATTCAGGAGAACGCGGTTCTGCGAATAACTTCTGCTTCGCTATCACGTAAAGTGAAACATACGGGCTCACGGAAGCTATAAAAGAAATCAATAAAATAATACATTTGAAAGGAATGTTCAATGAGACGCTGAGGCCACGAGCTGCGTGATTTTTTTTTTATTTTAGTTTTTTTTTTTTTTTTTTTTTTTTTTTTACGTTTTGTCGTCGCGCGTCGAAACATACTGGCAGATGCTTGCATGAGGCTAACGACGCTAAAGACGCTAAAGACGAACATCTCACGCTCGATCTCGCTCAATTCGTTCTTCCAAGCCTTCCAAGATGCCATCTTGTTCGTTCTTCTTTTAACGCTGGCAACCATGGCAACGCTCGCTGAGGACCGAGCCAATACCGAGCCCACTGATCTCTATTGTAGTAGGCTGGATCGCGGATCGCGGCCTCGGCAGCTGGGGCCGAGTGTCGCCACCGGCGGCCATTGATTGACACCAGCCAATGCATGGGACTCTATGGGAAGAACGAGAAAAAGTGCCATTTTCCCCTGTTTCTAAGCTGTTCTCGGCACTGAAACGTTTTTGATGCTTTTCGATAAGCCCGTCAAATAGCTTGCTTACAAACATTAAAACTGACAGCCCTTTCAATTCTTATAAATAAATATTTTGTGGTCGAGAGTGACTCCGCAGTAGTGCAGCTCAATGATGCGAGTTACCTAGAGTTACCGCGGAGTCGGTGGCGGTTTCGTTGAGTTGGGTTTAGCAGACGACAAGCTCCAAGGCTTTGCAACGCGGAATTCGCTCACTCTCGGAAAGCCGTTGTCGAGATGGAACTTCTTTGTCATTCATCAACGTCAGGGCTTTCCCGAAGACGGTCTCATTGACGGCAAGTTCATTTGTTTACCCTACTACGAGAGCAAGCTTGCCAGCTCAGTCGTGGGTGCTCCGGTCGCTCCGGTACGTTTGATTTTTTTATTCGGCGACCGAACGTTTGACAAATACCGATTCGATCTGCAAACACCCGACATAATGATCGCACCGCACCATAAAATACTCGCCTCCGAGCACAGCGTACATGCTTTGATATGCTTACTTTTGTGCGTTTCTCCCATAGACTTGCGTGTATTGCCTGGTGTCAAGCAATGGCCGCCGGTGGCGACACCGACGGGCTCCCGATCCGCGATCCAGCCTACTAAAATAGAGATCAGTGACCGAGCCAGAGCCGCCTGCGAATCCGGAAACCTACCTCCCCGTTAAACGTCACAATCACGTGACAACCACATTACCGGAAAGGCGGTGGGAGAGTTGAAAGTGGGTGCGGGGGGCACATATTTCAATCTGTTTTTATTTTGTTAAAAAAAAAAAAAAACTAGGGTACGTATTGAAATATGGTTTTCTGTCCCGTATTCCACGGGTGGTAAGGAATAACTCCCACACCTATCGACCTGAAGTCCGAGAATAGACTCTTTCCGGAATTCAGACTGGCAACTTTGATCACTATCATCATCTGAAAAATGGCATATTTGCTATACTAATGGCGGCCTTCTGTTTATGATGGAGAATTTGAAAATGCTCCTAAGCAGATGATTCGATGCCAATACATCGTAGAAGCTAGCGCGACGTGAAGCAGGAATTAGATGCAAGAGCGGCGTAAGCGTTCATTTCTAACTCGGGCCCAGTCAATCTGTTAGTAGCACTCACTCGGTTTCAAAGCCTCTTGATGTATAGCATTTTATCAAGGCGTCTATGTGGGCTGGCGCTTCGTTCTGACTGGTTGCATCTTTTTCACCGTCGACACTGAAAGAGATTGAAAAAGAACTGGACCGTGACGCAAGCATTCTCATCTACCGTTGACTTGCGAATGTGACAGTGCCTCATCCAATACTGCAGACCACAGGTACAGCGTACTACAGGTTCATTGCCGCCATTAGTACGGTAAAAGTTAAACTGTCATTTGAGTCACCAGATGGCACTGAATTCCGGAAAGGGTCTAATAGACCCTTTCCGGAATTCAGTGCCATCTGGTGACTTTTTTAAAGGAGCACAGCCCCTTTAAAAAACGCTCCCAACAATTTCTGTTTTTTTTTTTTTTTTTTTTTTTTTTTATGCAGGTAATTTTTGTTTAGGTTGGCGACCGCGTTTGGGTGCCCCGGACAAGGTTTCAATTACTCTGGGGCGAGTAAAACAAAGCATCGTAAATCATTATTTTCACGCGAACCGGTAGAATTTTGCTTTGTCGGTATCTTAAACCAACAACACGTGACAATTTGGAAACCAAATAATTTACATGGCTATCTCATAACATTTTTTTTTTTAATTATAGGACGGATGACCGACAATGTGGGTGGTTTTAAATATGATATGGTAGGTGGCGCGGCGCACCGCCTGTCAGAAAGAGAGAAAACGATCGCACTGGTGACAAGGTATATGTACATGGGTAGCGAAGCTTCGGCCAAAAAGCGGTTCAAAACAAATCGCCAGCGACATCGACCTGGAGGGTCACGTGAAGGATGCGATTGAAGCGCGACTAGGAGAGGTGGGGACAAACATTATTAAAACTAATTAGTTTGTGACTAGAAATATGATCATCTGTATTTTTAAACAAGCTAAATATAATTATTAGATATTATCAGTTATATTTGGTGCGCTACAAAATTCAAGACTGTCCGTGTTTTTGCTAATAATACGCATACTTCTTATTAGCGTCCTCTGTACGCCACTAGCAAAAAGGCCGGCTAGCAATAGTGATATTCGCAGTTTTCTGTAGACTTCGTGACGCGCGGAAAGACAGGCTACTGAAGTCCGTCTGCTTGCTTGTGTTTGGGCCTCTACGTGCTTTTAATTGTTTTAGCGGCAGTTAACACAGTTTCGGAAGTTTTGTTGTTTTCTCGGGCGTGATTAGCCCAGTTACTTGCGCCGGAACTTGGCAGTCGTGCGCTTGGACCTTGGACACTACAGACTACAGGTCCAAGGGGCTCAACGTGCGATGATGTGCACAGCGCGATACGCAAGGAAACGGTGCTCCGTGGAAGTGTGTGAAAGCGACACCGGCACGGCTGGCATCTCGCTGCACCGGTTTCCCCTCGACTTTCGAAGGTGAGACTTAGCTAGTGTCACTAACATGCCTGCTGTGTGATGCCATGCCCCCTTTTCGGTGTTCGCTTAACTTTTGTTAGTTTTACCTAAAACTATTAGGGTTGTCTGTATGTGCACAAGAAACTACACATGAAGGCGTAATATGTTATACTAAGAATGTCGACTTCGCAGCGTTATGTGCCCTCATTATAAAATTGCCCACGATATTCAAATTTACCTGTACCGGCCGGGCTCTGAGGAGCCTAGTGCCGTGATCATCGGCGTGGTTATCAGTGGTACAATGCAAATATATAGTAGGGCATCTGTGCTAAGACCTGCGCTTTTACTCTTCATGATGTACACATAGCGTTGATGTAGTGCATTTGTTAATGTCCTTACTCTCGTTTACTTTGGTTTGTGGACATTTTGGCTGCATTTTCTTTTCGTAATTATTCATGGCACCCACATAGCACCATGCCTTATCTGCAGGCGCGAAGCCTGGGTTCGGTTCTGCAACAACCGAAGTTTACAGGGGAAGACTCCATGGAAGCTACGAGACAGGGTAGTTTGCTCCTTACATTTTGAGGAGTCAGCTTTCCTGCGGCCTGGACACCTCCGTCACAATGCGTTGGCAAGTATGCTTCCCACAAAAGCTAAGCAGCCCAATAAACCTTCCGTGCACTTTGTGACCAAGCATGGTTAACCCGCTCTTAGAAAAATAGTTAGCACATGGGGCTCAAATATTGCTTCTGTGGGCTCATAACATTTTTTTTATTTGCAGAGACAACACATGGGGCAATTTCCAGCAAAAGCTCTCCAGGTTCAGCAGTTGAGCATGGTGAGCTTTTTCAGTGTTGTTAACATAAAGTAACAACAACTGCCAGCACCACTGCATTACCTCATGGTATTCATGACCTGAGCATTTTGCAATAGAACTAGGTGAGATTAGTTGGAAAAAGTTGATAGAACATGGTCAGAGGTACTGCTAGAAGTTCATTTCAGACCCGTTTATAATGACATGTTTTATTTGAGGTGACATAATCAGCGTCAATAACGGTCCACAGAGCATCTTTTGACATGCCGACACTCAGTCTTCCAAAATAAAGCTGCATGAAAGGAAGTGATTTACATTTTGTGTTAAAATAGGCGAATTCACCATATATTTGCAGAAGTGAGTTCGCCACCCTCACCGAGCTACACATACTTCGGCAGTTCAGACTCACGGAGCTTCTGTGGTTTATCTTGACGATCAGTCTTCCGAAATGGAAGTTTCGTGGGATTTTCCTTGTGTGTTAGAATAGACACATAGGAAGGAACTCAGCTACTATTCCATGACTAACTTCACGTTAAATTTGCAGAGAGGAGTTCGCCAGCCTCATCGAGTTGCACGTACTCCGGCCGCTCAGACTCGCGGAGTTCCTGACCACCAGTCTTCTGAAATAAATCTGTCATGGAACGAAGGTGAATTTCCTCTTTATGTGGTCAGATAGGGGAACAAGGGAGGACCTCAACCTCTTCTCCTTCGCTAAGTGCACATTAAATTTGCAGAGCAGATATCTGCGGCTTCATTGGACCACACATACTCGTGCACCTTATTGGGTAACAGTCCACTAGGGGCCTATAATAAGTGGTGGCCGAATATTGTTTGTGCTATCCTTTTATTCCCATTTTTTGTGAGCTTGCTTTTTTAACTGGTAGAAACAGCGCAACTTGACGAAGAACAAGAAACAAGGAGTATACAGACAGTCGCTGTAAAAGTACACAGAGAAGCACTGTTTCTGCCAACTAAGATAAACAACCAACTCGCCCAACTTCCCGCTTTGTTGAACTTGCTTTCTTACTTACAGTTTTTGTATAAACCTTTCTTTTTTTGCAGTTGATCACAGCTACGCTTTACGTCATGGTGCTGCTCCTGCTCAAGAGTCCAGCGGGGACGTTGCTGCCATGGAGATTTTGGTTTCTTCACCGTCGCCTAGAGACTATCTCTCTGGCTGCGCTGCTGAGCCTTCTTACAAATGTGAGTGGTTACTATTATGCAAACTTTTTTCTTTTGCAGTTTGTTTTGTGAAATTAAAAAAAATGTCAGACCGCAAAAATAAAAAGCCAAGGCTCGAAAAAGACCAGCGGATGCTAAACTTTATCTTGAGAAATGATGGCGCGAGGGATCACATAACACAAGATCGGGTAGCTGGCAGCTACAAATCGAAGTTTGTTCAAAGTTCACCAGATTTTTCTGTTTCATGGTATATTGTCATTGTCAAGCTCACAAAAATACAAAAAAAAATGTTCCACACGTAGGTGTTAACACCATCAAATCAAAACAGCTCAACCGGTTTCACTGAATCATAAGTCTTCCCGCAAAACCTCACGTAAGACAGTGTTTTCTATAGCTATCGAAAAGCTGCCCTGATCATATGTGTGTGATGCTGAGCCTGTCATGGTCCCTTGTCCTATCTGCCAAACATTAGTTGCCTGTTTATGTGCGAGCGTTTCACTGTTACAGTGCCATCGACATAAGTAAGATATAGTCAAGCTTTAAAAAATTCATTTCACAGTTCGGATGCCTATTCTGGCTTGCATGTTTCTGTGTGCGCCCTTGTCTTTCTGGACTATCAGGTCTCTGGCTAGCATGAAGCGCCTAGTCCGACATAAAGATGTACCGCTGCTTTCCTTAACTTGAATTGCATATGTGTAGTCTGTCATACTTGCTGTTCTTGTTTAAAGACACTTCGAATTATTGAGGAGTATTTTTGAGTGTGAATAGATTACACATTTAATAAATTGATGGCAAATGCAAGTTTTTCTTGGAGACCTGAACTGGTTTATTTGTCAAATTGCAGCACCCGGCAAAAGCGGCAGCATCGACAAGAAGGAGGTGAACACCCTGAGAACCAAGGTGCGACAGCTTCAAGAGCGTAACAAGAGGCTGAAAAGAAGGCTGCAACGGCAACGTCAGATGAGGACTGTTGCCGAAGTCGTTGAGAGCGCCGCGTTCATGTGTCTCCTGCTGTTGCTGCACTCTTTGAAGCCCAGCATAGAATGAGCAATGTGAGCCGGTTCGGTCGGAGATGAATACAGCAGCAAAGTGTAAAGCTAGGCAGCAAGTGTACAGGCTACGTATGTGAGACCACCCAGAGTACTTCTTAAAGCAGTGTGGGCATGTTCTATTCGAACCTTTAATTTTCTTCGGTTTCTTGAGGAGTAATGTAGCCTTCTAAGTGGGTCACATATATAGCGTTTAAAGCTGTGAAGCAACACTGGCTTATGAAGCGCAGCATACCAGAGGGCTCTAAGACGGTTTACTCCACTTGGCTTGTTTGATCTGCACTAAAAAATCGTTGCGTTGCAGTGTACCAGCACCAGCAGATGCAAGTTAAAATATCTTCAGCATTATGGTACAGTGCCCAAAGACTGCGTAGACGAGTGTAGTTTTTTTCTGTGTATTACTGTGGTGACCACAGTTGTCCTCGAAACACTGTGAAACCTGCGTTATTAGCGGCTGCCTGTAAACTGTCAATGTCCTCAAAACATCCAGCCGATTGTATATTGTCTTATTATGTTATAATGTGCCATTTGGACCGATCTACTAGCTTTCCTCCACCATTACACATTCAAAATGGTGAATATCAGTTGTATGATTCTAGAGAGTAATCTGATTGAATGATTGTAAGTGAATGAAACAAATAAAACGCAACTGTTAATGCAACGTTGGACTTTCATTAGAGTTACCGTAGTGTATTTCATACGCAACACACTCCAGCAATTTGATTCACTCTTCTTTTATTTGTGAAATTACATCATAGGATGTAAGGTTTCCCACATATCTCCAAGGGATCCTGAAGGAACAAAGAGAAAAACACCGGTTCGAGTTTAACCACAGTGCAAAGACACGATGGTGTGACGAAATGAAACTACTCTAGTAGCAGGTCGGCTAACAAAGTCGCTGCAGAAAAAACATTTCGAGCAAAATATAAGAGCAAGTTCAAATAGGGGCGTAAACGATCCAGTATGGAGTAAACAACCCAAGAAAAACCTGAAACTACAGGTAGAAAGAACGACACACACACTAATAAGTATCAAACAGCTCAGACACAGAGCTATGTTTGATACTTTTTAGTGTGTATGTCGTTCATTTTACCTGTAGTCTCTGGAATTATTTTTGTTTAATTTTCGCGCCAAACCGCACGCACGCATGACGTCACGTTTTTTTCAGAAGTGTCGTCATTTCCTGTTTATTTTTTGTTCCGCCGGAAGTGTCCCCACGACTCATAGATGGCGCTAAAGCAGCCCCATGGGCCGCCATTGTTTCGACATGTGGGCTTCTATGGAAGCTTCGCTACCCATGTACATATACCTTGCTGGTGACTGGTCACAACGTCCATTTTTCGCCCAACGCTCGAACTGTGAGACCGAAATCTGTTCAGCTGATTCGAACCGATTCGTCATGCTATTTTTCTAAAAGTTTCGGCCTTCGTCGTCATGCCACCGCAACCGAGGAAGCCTCACCTGCCACCTTCGAAGGAACCTGGACAAAGAAAGTGAGTCAATTGCCTTGCTCCTGGTTTGATTGTTTGAGCGGTTTTTTTGGTTTCCCCATTCCCGCGTGCTTAACCTTGTTGCGTCCACCGCCTCATACAGATATACCGTCCAGAAATACGGCTGCCGGGACCAAGCAACTGAGTTTTGCGAACCACGAAATTGATACAACTTCGATAGCGAATTGAACCACCCCCGCGTGACTTGCGAATTTCACATAGCGTGATTCTACAGTGTCGGTGGTTGTTCCAGTTATATCTTGGCTGCTTCAAGCTTCCCCGCTTCGCGAATGCAGCCATCGGACGGTCATTCTAGGACACGGATAATGACCTTTTTTTTCGAGCTTTGCGGAGGCTGCAGGCGGCAGGCTGCTGAAGACACGATTTTTGCTCGCTCGTTGTTATTCGCCGAAGACAACTTTGTGTAAACGGTGAAAATTTCCTCTGAGAATACGTGAACAATTCTAGTTTTCTTGCTCGATTTCCCAAAGGTCATCCTGACGATATCGCACACCGACTGGTGATAGTTACAAAATTGCTGAGGGAGAGCGAATTGGTTTAGAACAGCGAAAGGAGGAATCAAATTATTTTTCTAGGATAGGTGGCGCAAGCTAGCACCATTATAAAGGGTACAGACGGTCCTTCTGAATTTCCATTGGTATGCACAGTGTGCCTGTGATCCTTCTACTGTCCGTAACTGTTAGGTTGGAGTTGCTCTTTCTTGGAACTGCACAGGTTCGCTAGGTGCCGCCCCCCGGAGGCACGCTGGGATTCTATTTATTTATTTATTTATTTCTTCAAAATACCTCAAAGGCCCGGAGGGCATTACATGAGGGGGGGAGGGGGGGCATTTCCAACAAAGGCATATAGTACAACACAAAAACATTGAAACAAAAGAATAACTGAAATTAGAACATACTGATGTGCGACAAATGACGACAATAAGCACAGGACAATAACTAAAAGTAGTTAAATCAGTCATGGTAAACCACTTTGGGACAAAATAACATAATACAATGCTAATAATAACGGAGCACCGAAGAATGTCAGCTTGCATACTAGCCTGGGATGAGAAAGAAGTTAGTAAGTGCACTGCGAAACATTTTTGCATCAGATATGGTGACAATGTCGTCGGGAAGACCGTTCCAGTGTTTGATGGCTTGAGGAAGTGCTGAGTTATTAAATGCTAACGTTGAACCAAAAAGGCGTTTAAAGCTTTTGCTGTTATTTTGACGATGTGACACTCTATTCGGTGGTTCTAAAAGTGATGAGCTGGAAAGACCGGGGTTATAATGCAACCGATGAAGTAAGCAAAGAAGTGCGATTAGTCGACGAGTCTCGAGGGGATGAATAGAGTTATTTTGCTTAAGAAGGGAGACGCTGGCAAATCGGGAATAAGATGATGATATGAATCGGGCGGCACGGTTTTGGACAGATTCTAACTGGTTAATGAAGTACTTCTGATGAGGATTCCAGATAGGTGAAGCGTATTCTAGTTTTGGGCGTACGTAGGTATTATAGGCAAGATGGCGTAGATGCGCGGGTGTGGCTTTTAGGTTTCGCTTTAGGTACCCGAAAGCACGTGACGATTCAGCAGTTGTAATGTTAATGTGGGTAACCCAAGACAGATTTGAGGTCAGATGCACGCCGAGGTACTTGTAAGATGAGACAGCAGGTAGAGAAGTGTTATTTAGGGCATAACAGAAAGATGAGACTGAGCGTTTCCTAGTGAATGAAACCAGGTTACATTTATTTACGTTTAGTTGCATTTCCCATTTTACACACCAGTCGAGGACCTTGTTAATATCACTTTGTAGGATATCATGGTCAGTTTGGTTGTTAATTTTTCTATACAACACACAATCGTCAGCGAAAAGCCGGATTGTAGATGACACGGTGTTTGGAAGATCGTGAATGTAAATCAGAAAAAGAAGGGGCCCAAGGACTGTGCCCTGTGGGACACCAAAGGTTACATCGGTAGTCGTAGAGTGAAAGTTGCCAACCACAGTAAATTGCTGTCTAAGGGTTAAAAAGTTGCGTAACCAAGAAAGCGTGAGGGAATTCAGGTTTAGAGCAGAAAGTTTGGATATTAGGCGACAGTGGGGTACCCGGTCAAATGCTTTAGAAAAGTCTAGGAAAATAGCGTCGGTTTGAGAGCCGGAGTCCATGTTAGTATGAATATCGTGGGTGAACTCGAGCAGTTGTGCTTCGCATGAGTACCCCTTCCGAAATCCATATTGGTACTTGTAAAAGAAGTTGTTGCTTTCAAGATGTCGTATGGAATGGGAAAATACTATATGTTCTAACAATTTTGACACGACACTGGTTAAGGATATGGGGCGATAGTTAGCTACAGATGATTTATTGCCAGACTTAAAGACTGGAACGATCTTCCCAATTTTCCAGTCCTCAGGAATGGAACAAGAAGACAAAGATTGTTTAAATAACAGGCACAGTAGCTGCGAAGAAATTTCACTGGTATTTTTCAGGATTTTAGAATGGATGTTTTTTCCCATGTATTTTGTCAATTAAGGCAACGTGGGCATTATTTTGTTTACATGCCATTACTAGAAACTGGTTACATGGCACGTAAACAGCGTCTCGTTAAGGATCATGGCCCGGGTCCACGAAGGGCACGAGCCCCGATGACCCCCCCCGCCCCCCCCCCCCCCCCCCCCCCCGTAGTCTACGCCTATGGGTCTTTGCACACCAGCCTTGCCATGTCGCATTCTCAGGGGCTGACGGTAGCGAAAAACGTCTTTATTTTCGCTTGAAATGGATCGCAGGAGCGTCATGAGATCAATAAAACAACGTCATAATGAATTTATTGTAAGAACAACTGGCGACGCTGAAAAAAGTGTAGAATGATAACGCGCGAATTCAAATTAACACGCTCATATAAACACGTCAACAAGCATGTTGCTGGGCACTGAAGCGTATGTGCTTATACAAATCAACTCGTTTCGCAAGGAAAGAGTGTCGCACAATTCGTACACTGTTGCCACGAACCTGTAGCAGGTACTGTAAAAATAACAGCTCCAATATCTACCGCACGTTCACGCGCATATCTCCAGAGTATACACACACGAATCCGCGCTGTTCAGCTGATCGCAAGTGGGGTCTTGAAATTGTTACCCCTTTGTCACAAGTCTCCAAACTGGCACGGGCATGCAAGGGGCCGAGGTCGTCACACACGCAAATGACACACGCGAGGAGTGACTCAGCAATTTTCACCACCTCAGATTTTTAGTAGTAGGCCTCGACATAGCCAAATACAAAAACAAAAACAGCCCGCCTCCGTCAAATAACGAAGACGTTTTCACATTGGTATTCTTTCCTAATGCGGCTATGAAATGTATGCAGCAGATTATGCTTGAACCTTTGACACAAACACAGGGCACCAGAAAAAGGAAGTTTACGATGACGCAGCCA